CGATTCCTTCTTCAGATGTCAGTGTTGATGGGTACTATCCTTTGATTCATAAAGACTCCAATAGTCACATGCTAGGTTTAGGGGTATACATACGTATTAATTCCCCTATTTGTTGTGAAATCAAATTCGAATCCTTTGACCATTCTTTAATGTGCTTTCGCCTAGCACCTCTTCACTCTATCACCTTTCTCTTTGTTCTTTATTGTTCTCCTTCTTCCCATGATTGCACTCTTTTAGATGTTATCTCTGATCAAATTGACCATGCCCTCTCTCTTTACCTCTCTGCCAATATTGTTGTTGGTGGTGATTTTAATGCCCATCACACTGAATGGCTTGGATCTAAAGCCTTTAACTTTTGCGTTTCTCAATCTCTTACTCAGATAGTTAACTTTGTGACTCGTTTTCCTGACAACCCTAATCATTTACCTTCACTCCTTGACTAATGTCTTGTCTCTGACCCTAGCTTATGTTCAGTTTCTCCCTTTTCTCCCTTAGGTGGTTCTGACCATGTAATGATCTCTATAAATCTTTCTTCTTGTACTTCTTTTTTGAGCTCACCTTATCTCACACCACCTACTACTACCCTAAAGCTGACTGGGATTCCTTTTGTGATTTTCTTCGTGATCGTCCTTGGGCTGATGTTTTTTCTCTCTCAGCTGACAAATCCTCCTGGATTCAGGCTGGAATGGAAGCTTTTATTCCTTTGCGTCAGTTTTAAGTCAAGCCTCGTTCTACTCTATGGTTTTCTCCTTCTTGTGCGGCTGCTATATCCAATTGTAATCATTATTTTCATCTTTTTCAAAAGAACAACTCTCTTAAGAACAAACGGCTATTTATTATTGCAAGAAATCGATGTAAAAAGGTGCTTTCTGATGCTAAACTCCATTATTCTCAGTTCACTAAATCTCGCATCTTATCGCAGAAGTTAGGCTCTAAAGACTTTTGGAAAATCTTCAACAGCATTGTTAACAAGGGTAGATCTAACATTCCATCTCTCATTTATGGGACTGATCTTGTTACCTCTCCCAGGGATAAGGCAGAACTGTTTGCAAAGAACTTTTCCTCTAATTCCACTCTTGAATCTTATGGACATTCTCTTCCTTCCATTCCAGTCAAACAGGTTGACCCATTGTTAGACATTCAAATCACTCCGGCTTCTGTTGCTAAAGTCATATCTCAATTAAACTCGTCTACAGCTTGTGGTCCAGACAACATTCCTGTCACAGTCTTGCAGAATTGTTCTCCAGAACTTTCTTCAATTCTCTCTAAACTATTTAACAAGTGTTTGACTGAGTCTTGTTTTCCTGCTTGTTGGAAAATGGCATCTGTGGTTCCAATATTCAAAAACTCTGGAGCAAATTCTGACCTCTCCAATTATCGTCCGATCAGTCTTCTTTCTGTTATTAGCAAGGTCTTTGAGTCTTTGATCAACAAATTCCTCACATCTCATCTTGAGTCAAATAAACTGCTGTCAGACAATCAATACGGTTTTCGATCCTCTTGCTCTACGGCCGACTTGCTAACTGCTGTAACTGAAAGATTTTATTGTGCATTAGATGGAGGTGGTGAGGCTAGGGCTATTGCTCTCGACATATCTAAAGCTTTTGACAAAGTTTGGCATGCTGGTTTTCTCCATAAGCTTGCTTCATATGGTGTTTCTGGGAAAGTTTTTGAGATTATCAAATCATTTCTTTCTAACCGGTTTATTAAAGTCATCCTTGAAGGCCAACACTCTTCTTTATTTCCAGTAACTCCTGGGGTACCCCAAGGTTCCATCCTAGGCCCTGTTTTGTTTCTTATCTACATAAACGATCTTCCTGACAACCTTTCATCTAAAGTAGCTCTTTTTGCTGATGACTCAACTTTATACTCCTGTCTTGACAAAAAGTCTTCTCTTTTCGATTGCCTAGAACAAGCAGCTGATCTTGAATCTGATCTCACTTCAGTAATAGATTGGGGTTCACAGTGGCTTGTGAATTTCAACTCTAAAAAAACCCAATTGCTTACGGCAAACAACTACTGTAATATGGTCAACATTCCTATATTAATGAATGGCAATCCTCTTACTGAGTTCTCCTCTTTACGTCTTCTTGGATTATTGCTTACTACTGACCTTTCATGGAAACCATATATACAATTGATTGCTAAATTAGCTTCTGCTAAGGTTGCTTCTCTTTATCGTGCTCGCCGTTTCCTTACTTTTGATTCCATTCTCTACCTCTACAAATCTCTTATTCGTCCCTGTATGGAATACTGTTGTCATATTTGGGCTGGTTCTTCTAATGATTCACTTTCTCTTCTTGACAAGGTCCAAAAACGCATTGTAAATGCTGTTGGACCTGGACTATCTGCTAAGCTTGAACCTCTTTCTCATCGTCGTAAAGTTGCATCTCTTTCTCTTTTCTACAGATACTATTATGGTCACTGCTCAAAGGAGTTATCATCTCTAGTTCCATCAACTAAAATTCATTCTTGTTTTACTCGTCATTCAGCAAAGTCTTATTCGTTTACTGTATCTGTCCCTGCATGCTCTAAAAACTTTTATTCATCTAGTTTTTTTCCCCGCACTTCAATCCTTTGGAACTCTCTCCCATCTTCATGTTTTCCTGACTCATACAACCTTCAACTTTTCAAGTCTTCTGTCAACCGTTTCCTTGCTCTATAACTCTGTTCTTTTTTTTTTTGCTAGTAACTCCCCATTCAATAGTGGTTGCTTGCATCCTTGTTGGGAGTGAATGCAAATAAAAAAAATATATATATATACAAACCAACTTTGAAAGTTTTTAAAGGTAATTTTATTAAGCATTCAATATAGGGGGTCATTCAAGGTTTGGGGTCAAGTGTTGAAATTTTTGTGGTCTGCACAAATTTCGAGCAGTTAATATTGCATTGTAGAAAAAGGTACATGTGGTTTAGATACCATGATAAGACTCAACTAAAAATTTGAAATTAGGAGTTTGTTGCTGATAGTGCATGATTAATTGCTGGTTCAATGAGTTGTGCAAGTTGGAAAGATGCTTCTCTCTGAGCAGTTATTGACCAGACTGGGATATATGCACAAACTATCAAACATGATGAGTATCTACGTAGTAATAATTTTGGAAAGGTTCAGACAATGGTAGGATTACCATTATGAATGAATTTGCATGATTTGAGAATCTTTTATTAAGAAGTATCAGTGTGCCTTCTCCAATTAGGTCTATTTCCTCTGAGCTTGCAAAATTTTAGTTCTCATTCATTTGTGAAAGGATAATATTTTTGGCATTAAGTATAACCATGTTTCAGTCAAACACGCAATATCAATGTTAGAGTCGGCAAAGAATTGATTTAGGGTATCTATTTTATTACAAAATGAACAGTTTGTTGTAAATATGGTTGATAAGTGCTTCGTAAGGATTGTTGAGTTGTTTAAGTGAAGTAGAGAATGGGTTAATGACTTTTACACAGCGGATGTTCCAGTAAAAGGGTGATTCAGGGTTTTCAGAAAAAAGTTATTTATTGCTGACATTTCAATCCTTATGTTGAATATATTCTAGTTCTCTTTCAGCAGAAGAAAAATCTTATTGTGTATTTTTTAATGATTTCATGATTAGCAAACATACAGGCGTTAGATAAGGCGGATATTTTTTTGTTAATGTCTGTAATGTTTGATTAGAATTGAGCAACTGTTTAAGGATTTTTTTGTGTTTAGACCTTTAGAGAAGACGATATTTTCATTGGGGATTCCAAGAATGTTACGAACACCAGAGACACATGATAGTGCTGGGGGTGTTAGATGGGTGTCACAAACAGGGGTGGCTGGTTTAGAAACACCAAATATTAGGTTCACCAGAAACAATGATTATAAGTATTTTACATTCAGGAACACCAAATACTAATAAATATTGTGTATATAATATTACATTTACTTATGTACATTTATAGCAAACATTGTTTTAGTGGATTAGCAGTAGACCTATATAGGCATTTATTAGCGGTTTATTGGAGTTTTGCTCATCAGTTTCCAAGTGGACCATTAGGTGCAGCCGCCATAAATGGCATAAAAGCTGATAATTTTTTAATATTTTAATTGTGACTAATCATCGGCTAGCCACTTTTAGAGACAGCCACTAATGGTCTACTAAGAACCAATGAGCAAAACTACAGCAATCCGCTTTAAATGCTTATATAGATCCACTGAAAAACTGCTACAGCATGTTTGCTGGGTATATAAATAAATTAGGTTAGTGTATTCTACAAACAGAGTGCTCAACTTATCAAAAAAAAAAAAATTATTTTTATTAATAATCATTTCTTTGTTCTTTTAAGAACATTGAGCAATAATAAATAATAAAAAAAATACAAATAATTTTGAATGTATTCTACATTCGTAAAATGGATTAAAATTTATTTAACACACATTGCTAAAATTGTTATTTTTGGTAGGTTTCACAACCATTTAATTGGAATTTAGATAAATAGAATTTTGGCCGTGATCAGTTTCTCTTTATTCTTTTTTGTGGTTCTAAAACTTATTGTTAATAATTTTTTTTGTGTGTGAATATAAAATGGCAATTTTTTTTAAAAAAAGGATATTTTTACAAAAAATTTAGCTTTTTTTATAAATAATTTTCCTAAAAACTTTTATTTTGAAGAAACCAATAAAAACATTAACAAATCATTTTCAACATACTTGACAAAAAAAAAATTTCAAAAAGAAAAACAAAAAAAAATTACAGATTTCCTTCAAGAAAATCGTTCACCTGATTTTTAACATTTACACTATAAGCCTTATTTAAAAAAAAACAATAAGCAAATTTAAAAATAGAAACAATAACTAAGAGTAAAGCTCAAATCTCGTTAATATCTTTTTTGTTTTTGTTTTTAGACTCACAGAATACTAGTGATAAAAAAATACCAAATATATTTTAGTTTAGTATATTATAAGTTTATTATAATTTAGGTATAAAATTATAATATACTTGCTTCAATTTTTTTATCAACATTAAAAAACTACTTACATTTACTGCCAAAAAACTTAACATCAGAGGGATTATCTAAATTTCTTATTTGTAAATTTTTTGCCATAATAACATTACTCAATGCAATGTACTGATTTTCTCCTCCTTCTAATTCAAACTAAAGCAAAAAAATCTCAGTTGTAATTTGACTATTTAGACTTGCAATTTAACTTTATATATATATAAAAAAATAGAACCTATAAAAACAAGGCAACATGCATAAATATAGATTTTAAGTCAGTGTTTCTTTTTTTTTTTTCAATGACAATAATAATAAAAAATAAATTGGATAATGCAATAAGCAGATACTACTGTATGAAGAGAATCGACATTAAAACTTAAAAACATTGTACTTACAAACCATCTACCCCTACAGCATTACTGCATAGTAGTGGTGAAGTGGTATCACAAAAGAGAATTATTCAACATTACAAAAGATTACTTTTACTTTAAATTATTCCTTAAGCAAAATTTTATGATATAAAAAGGTTAGCTGTTAATATCAGCTGAAAAATATCAGGATATTAGACTACCACGGCACCAGTTGATGTTTCCAGTGTATTGTCATGACATTGAAAACTTATTCTTTCATTTTTAGGTTTATTAAATAAACCTTATTTTTTAATTTTTTTTTATTGTTATATTAACTTATAACCCTATAACTTCCAAGCAAAAATCTTAACCAATAAGATTGCTGTCTGATAAATAAATTAAAGACCAAACTACAAAATACTTAAAAAGAAATATTTAGCAGCAGTTCAAGGCATACATTAATATTTATGATTTTCAAAGAAACTTTTTTTTCTCGTTGAACTCTCTTGCAGATTTGCCAAACCCACTTGTTCTTTTTAAGTTTAACATAAATTTAACGCTGAATCCACAATTAAAAATTAGCGTTCCAGACATGTATGCTAACATTCAATACAACTTGATCAGACTGTTTGTTTATTTTACCTGCTTTGTTTATTTTGCTGATATTTTGGTTTTCTTAAATTTATAGTATGAAAGTGGATTGGTTTAATTACTAGTAATACAGATTATAACACAGAACTTTTTTTTTATAGTTATCTTTTACATTAGGGCTATTCAGTATGCTAATTTGTTTTCAGAGCATTGCTAATTGAAGTTTTTCCCATTCAACTATCATATTGTGGTTCAAAAATATTTTTCACTAAATTTTATTATTTGCCCTAAAGGTCCCTCAAAGCCCCTAAACATTTGACAGGTCCCTAATATTATTAAAAAAAAATTATTTAAAAATATATCAACGTGGTACTCAAAAGAAGCAAAATTGTAAAAAAATTTTAAAAACTAGATTTATTTTTTATAAAAAACAACTTAAAAAAACTTTATACTAAAAATGTTGTAAATATTACCTTTTTTCCATTTTTAGTTTAAAAAACATAGTTTTTATTCAAAAAAAACCTAAACTTGTAATTTTTATAAAAAACATTTTTTGTTTTTGAAATTTTAAAATTATTTTGCTTCTTTTGAGTACCAGGTTGACATATTTTTAAATAATTTTTTTTTAATGATATTAGGGACTTGTCAAATGTTTAGGGGCTTTGAGGGACCTTTAGGGCAAATAATAAAATTTACTAAAAAATATTTTTAAACCACAATATGATAGTTGAATGGGAAAAACTTCAATTAGCTATGTTCTGAAAACAAATTAGCATACTGAACAGCCCTATTTTACATGGTCAAATTTTATCTCCATACCCTGATATCTCATGTCACTTATGTTTGCTAATAATACCTTTTTATAATTTCTCTCCACTTCCCTTATCCCTACTATGCCTATCCCTGTCAAACAGGTTTTTCCTTTGAACTAATATTAAAAAATTCTTACCATTTTTGTTTTAAATTTCAAAACAATGTAAATGCAATCTATAATAAGAACCTGCTTAAGTAGCCAAAATTAAAATTATTTAATGCATCCTGGTAAGCAACTGCACCAAATTATGTAATTAAAAAAATAATAAAAATTTTGAATTTTATAAAAAAAAGTGTTTTGATATTTATAAAATATATTATAGCATTAACAAAATGATTGTCTTCAATAGACATAAGTATATAAATTACTAAATAATACTATTGAAACATGCTAAATCAGTTCAAACTTTAAGAGATAATAAATAAAACAGTTCAAACTTTAGGGGATATTAAATAGAACAGTTCAAACTTTAGGGGATAATAAATGGAACAGTTCAAATTTTAGGGGATAATAAATAGAACAGTTCAAAATTTAGGGGATAATAACTACTCATAGTAATCAATACTCATAGAAGTAGTTCAAACTTTAGGGGATAATAAATAGTTCAAACTTTAGGGGATAATTAATAGTTCAAACTTTAGGGGATAATAGCCAATAAGAAACTGTAGCCAAAAGTGTAAAAAGAAGGTTAGCAAGTAGTAGCCAAACAGTAAAAAATGTAATGGCTAAGTATAAAAATTATTTAACATAAAAGCAAACATAAAATATTTGAAAAAAAACCTCATCAAATGCTTCATATTGATTATTACTAAAATAATCAGAAGATTGAACTAGTAGAGTAAATGTCTTTTTATTGATATCACTATTATACAAATCTATTCCAGTAAAATAATAAAAACCATCAAAATTAAAAAATGTTGATTGTGATGTTGCAATAGGTGATAATGATTTTACATCTCCAACCACTATAAAAAAATTTAAAAAAATAATCAACTTTGATAAGTATATAAAAATTAACTTAACACTTATAGGTTATGCAACAAAATATATGTTTTGAATTCCCTAAATGAACAAAATAATAAATATTTTTATTATAAATATTTATATCTTTAGATTTTTTTAAAACATAATTTGTATTTTGATTAACAAAAACTTATTAATGACTTATATTACAAAGTGCTTGTTTTTGTGTGTGCTTATGTGCATGTGTGTGGGCATGTAAACACACAATATGTAATATTTATATGATTATCATTATGTCATATAAGATTATCAATACTTGCAATCTATAAATTTAAATAATTTTATATATTTTTTTAGTATATTTATTTTATATTCATAAACAGTTTTGTTATATTTACTTTGGTATAGTTTTACTAAAATTACCAAAAAATTAAAAAAAATAAAAACTTAAGATTAAACAAAAATTAACAAACTTTGTCTCTAAATTGTATAAAATTAATAACAAAATGAAAAAAATAACATATAACAACCTTTCATTTGATAGGATATAGTCAATGTAATTCCACTTCTATAAAACTCAAAAAAATTATTACTATCATCAGTATTAGGCATTATAACAATACCAAGATGCTTTACAAAACCAAAATATTTATTTGAAACAATTTTATAGAGATTAGTTAAATCAATACTGTTGTAGCTTTTAATTTTATCTTTAGATCCATTAAAATTAAATATTACAGATTCTGCATTGGAAAGTTTATCCATTGAATCAGAATAATAATTTGGATATTTTAAACTATCAAACAAACTGTTTTTAAATGAAGATATAAAAGAATCATGTTGAGAAACTAATAAATAGGCTCGTGCTTCAAAATCATTGCATTTTTGACAATTAATTAGATATGGACCAACTATAAACATAAAACTTGAAACTTCTGCATTTGATGGTAAGTTAACATTATTGAACAAAAATGATGTTGTTGCTGGTCTATTATTAAATTGTCCAAACAGTGGAAATTGAGGGTCCATTACTTTATTATCATCTGTAAGAAAAATTGTTGTAGGACGAAAATTTAAAGTAACATCATTTGATGAAAATGGTTCTAAAATAATAAAATTAAATGATCATTTGAAAGTCTATTAAATTTTTTAATATTAAACAACCATAAATAGTTTGAGTATAACTTTTCCTAATAACTTTATTTCTTTTAACCAAAATACCATAATTCTTATTATAATAATATGTTATGAGGAATCCAATTTTATAATTTGGCAGGTTAATAGAGAACATTAATGCTATTTTATTAAAAAGGCATTAATAATGACTCTTTGTTATATAAGTCAACAAAAAATTATTTAATATTTAAACAATAATTGTTAATTATATAAACAAAATCAGTAACAAAAAATAAGATGGCTGTTGTGAAAAAAATATATCCCTATAATAACTCTATAATAATTTTTTTTTTTTTTTTTTTGCATTGCAGATGGCAATTGCGTTTTTTTAACTGTTGATTAAAAAAAAAGGAAAAAAAGAATGAAAATTAAGAAAAAAACCTGATTTTGTTAATGGTTTAAAAAAAGAATTCAAAATTATCAAACAAAAAGAAGAGTAAAAAAACAAGCCATACTATAATAAAAAAAAACACTTAAAATTAACACTTGAAAAAATAAAAATATAAAAATTTTAAAACCAATTTTAATTTAACAACAAAATAAAATAAAAAAATTAAAAAAAAATTGAGTTAATAAGAAGTTAATAAGAAGATAAGAAGAGAAGATCAGTTTATTAAAAGAGAAGATAATTTTTATTATCTTCTCTTTTAATAAACTAATAACATTAATTTTTATAACTTTAAATTTTTGTTAATATAGTATCTATTATTTTTTTATCATATTTAAAATATTACACTTTTATTTTTATATTACTACAATTTATAGTTAGACTACTTATTTTGATATGTTATAATATATAATATAAACTAATATATATTTAAACAATTGTTATTATAATATATAATATTTATTTAAACTATTGTTATTATACTTTCAATTAAGCTTTTTTTCAACTTTTATTTAGTTTTTTACTCATTCAATTTGATTTTATAACTTTATTTAATATTTTGTTGTTGTTATACTTAACTATTTGCTTGGCGTTACTGTTTAAACTACCATTATCATTTTTATTTAATATATTTGTAAGTGTTTCGATGTTGTAATCGTTTGTTTTTAATAATCTTATTCATTAGTATAATTTTATTTTTACTATTATTAATAACATAGCATGGCCTATTATATTTATGGCCATACATCTTAAATTTTTGAGAAATTAAGAGGCTGGTTTTGAAAGTTTAAATGCGCTAAATTATTATTTTTAAAATCATTCTTCTTTATGAATTTATTAACTTTTAAAAAGTTTATATTAAAAATGGTCAACAAATGTACTGCACCAAATGTATATTGGGATATATTTAAGCAAAAAACACAAACAAATTACAGCTTTTCATTTTCCAACAGACCAAAACTAAAATAAACTTTAGATATGAAATGTTAATCCTTCAGATAGACTCCAACAATACATTCTGCTTTATGTGAACTTTTTTTTTTGATGATATATATATATTTAGAGATTATAAATACATCCTTTTTAGAAACTTCTCAAAGTCCTCTTAAAAAGAGTATATTCTAAGAAGATCAGTTAGAAATATTTAAGAAAAATGATAAAATTATAAATGTACATAATTTGAATGAAGCTGTAGCACAATCAGGTTTTAATTTAAATAATTTGAAAAAGGCGCTACATTTTTATAATATAGTATTTAATGAACAAACATATTTTTCAACTATATTATAATCAATATCAGTTGAAAAGGAACACCACTTCCATTCCAAGTTGGTTTGTTAAAGGACATAATGCAAAACTTGATAAAATTAGTATGCTAGAAAATTTTCCTTTTTCTATTAACTACACATTAGAAAATCATGACACTATTTTAGATGAAATTAAAGATACAGAGCTTTATCAACCACAAGGCAGGCCACTATATTCTGCAGAGATGATTTGATATGTATTACTTCTATGATATAAATCTTTGCAAGCATACAAAGTACTACTTAAAAAGTTCCCTTTTTCATCATGGAGTCGTCAATTCCATAAAGGTTTTTAAAGTTCTACATGAAAAAGAAAAAATTTCTCCTGACTGTACCATGATGGTAGATAAAAAATATTTGCAAAAGCAATTTAAAAGATATTTTTAAATTGCTTTTACCTAAATTACCTTACCCTTTAAGGTAATTTTGTTGGTGCTGACAAAGAAGGTTACTTGTACAAGAGAATAGTCACATTCATGATAATAAGACTAAAAAAATCTATTCTATTTATTGTATAAGCAAAGTCACATTCTCTGTAAAAATGGCTTCTTGCAAAAAATATCTGCTAACCTTAAAAATCTTATAGGTGCTGGGTTGACTGTGCATGGTATAGTGACAAACAATAATCCCAATAATGTTAATGTATTTTCATCATTATTTACAATGTTCAAGTCTGAATCAAAATATTTTATTACTTACCCACAGAATTGTGGAAAGTAGACAACTGTTTTATGATAGTGTTCATATAGTCAAAAACTTAAGAAATACCTTATTAAATGGAAAAATTGTTTTGTTTTTCCATATTTCAAATACTATAATGCTAATACCTAAATTGATTGTCAATCAATATATATAAGTTGGAATGATTTATTCAAGATTTACAATAATGACTAAAAGATATACTTAGGCAAGCTCCAAAGCTTACATATGAGGTATTACACCCTGGAAAATAATAAACAAAGTGTGCCACCAACATTAGCATTATATATAAAACTACAATTGCAGCTTCAAAAAGCTATTACCCAAATTAAAAAGATTTTTTAAAATTTTTAGCAATTAGTGGTCATTTGCTAAGCCTAAAGAAAAGTTTTCACCTAATAATCTAACATATCTGTTACATAAATATGCACCAAAAAGCAAATTTGTTTGTGAAAATCATAAAAATTTGGGAATTACATTTTCATCAAAAATTCTTGTTAATGTATTTTTTAATAAAAACAAAAACTACCGAAAAATTCCATTAATAACTTAAAAACATTTAAAAAAGAGGCAAAGAAAAAAGTGAAATCAAAATTGCTAATATGTCAGTTGTATAGCATTTGTTTATATAGTTTATGCAAATTTACCTATTAATATTGTTTATGTAGTTTATACAAATTTACCTATTATTTGATTTTTTTCATAGCATTAAAATATACATGAATATAAATTTATATTTTACTTAGGTTGTTAGGAAAGTTCGTAGAACTCCCCGATTAAAAAAAAATAAAATAGTTTTTTTTAAATGTTTAAAATAATGTCCATCATTATCTATACATTCTGATTTTTTCTGTTATAAGTATAACACAAAAAATCAGAATAGTTTGTCATTTTGCTCTAAACTTTACACAGATTTTTGTTTTAGTTTTGAGATAATTTTTTGTTGGTAACAAAATTCAGGTTTTGTTGGTAACAAAAAGTCAGGTTTATTAAATTTTTGGAAATTCCTTCTAGCAATTCCCAAAAAAATAATAAACCTGACTTATAAGATACTTGTTATTTTGCTGACTTTAAAAAAAATATATATTGATATTTTTTTTATAAACCATGTATCGCTGTGGTACATATGTGACTATCAATTCCAAAGTATTTAGAAATTTTAACATGTATTTTATCATTACCAGCATGTATTTTATCATTACCAGCATGTATTTTATCCTCTGTGGCTGCACTAACACATTTGACTTTACATACAATAAAAGGCTCATTTCCTCTAACATTTCTTGAAAAATTCTACCTTTTTCACATCCAATCCAGAAGCATTTGTGATAACAATTATGATGCAATAATTCTGGTGTTGCCACCTTTCAGCAAGTCTCTTGTAGGTAGCATGTCAAACCCAAATTTTAATCTCACACCATTTATAACACTAACAATATCACCTGCTACTTTACAGTATGGTCAAATGCTAACTTTTCCATCAAAAATGTTCAACAAACAAAAAAAAAGATGTTATACAACGCTTAAAAAAAGAAACCATAAAAGAAACATAAAAAAAACTTTTATTTATCATCTTGCAATAGCAAGAATATTTAATTAGACTATTTCTCATAACAAACAATAACAAAAATAAATACTTTTTTTTTTTTTAATTAAAAAACGAAACAAAATTTTTAGCTAAAAAATAGTTCACATTAAATTTTATCCTTTATTAACATCACTTTTGATCATTTAATTTTTGTTTGTTTGTTTGTTTTGTTATAATTATGGTTTTATCTTTGTTTATATTTTTTTAGTTTTATTTTGCAAAAAAGGTAGCTTCGAAAAATAATATTTTATAATAGCTACACTAGCTTTATATAACCAAAAGATTGTGTGATATCAAAAAAATGAAAACAGAAATTTCCCTATAATTTAGAAAGAATTTTGAAAAAAAATGTTATTTAAATAAAATAAAAAAAGTTAGTTTTTTTTTTATATTTAAATAACTTTTTCTTCCTCTTTTTATATTTTTTACAAAAAAATAAATTTCTTGTAAACATATGTTAACTTTAACCACTGCATCAAAACTATTCAAAGCGTAACTTTTACTTTTTTGCTTTAAGGCAAGTGAATACAAAACAATATATATTTTTTAATAAATGATACTTGGAAAGTTGATATTGAAATATTACTTGGATATTGAAATGATACTTAAATATTTGTTTATCACAGAAAGATGTACCATTAGGTGTATCCTTATTAAACTGTAAAACAGTATTTTCTTTTTGAAACTTAATTCTATCAACAGATTTTTTAACTACCCTTCCATATGTTAACCTTTTTTAAACAGTTCAGGAAATCATTAACCATTATTTACCATTAAAGACAAAAGAAAAACACCACATTTAATGCAGTTTCCTTCGTTTAGCCAGTGTTTTTGCGCTTAAGTCTTTTTGCGCTTACCCACTTGCCCGCAAAACCTTTAGCAAGCAGAAAAAAATGAATTTTTTGAATTGCGCAGGCTAACTTGAAAAAGACAATCCTGTTAGTG